AAACCATAAATAATTAGAATTTCAAAACTGTTTCATATAATTATAATATCTATTAATTTATAAATTTATAATATATTCTATATTATATATATATATAATATATTCTATATTATATATGAAAAATTTATCATTTTTATTATAAATTATTAAAGTTATTCTGAAATATTATATTTATATTTATAACATTTATATATTTTTTAATTTATATACTATTTATGAATTTTTTAAGCGCTTATTTCAAGTATTTATTTAAATAAAATATTTTTTTAGTGGTTGCATTGGAAGAAATTCACGTTCGAAACGTGAAAGAGAAAGAGACAGAGGTCGAGAAAGAGATAGAGAGAGAGAAAGAGAACGTGAAAGACAAGCTACACCTCCTGCTGCATCTTGCAGTGGCTTACAAAGTACATATTTGTATCATTTTTTTCTATTAATATAATAAATTTATCAATATTGAAATATTATTGAAATTATTGAAATATTTTTTTAATAAGAAATATAAAATGATAAAAGAAAATAATAAAACAATATAATTTATAATTTAGCTACAGATGGTGGTGTCATAGCTAACAATCGAATGGCTATTGTTGGAGCTGCTGCAAATATAGAACATGAATTAGCTAATGGTTATAATAGTGGTGATGAATATACCGGCAGAACTGGGAACAATTTAACTCTAGCTGAATGGCAAGAGGTTAGTTATATGATTTAAACATTTAAATATTTTATTAACAAATATTAAATAAAATATTAAACAAATATTTAATGATAAAAATATATTGTTTTTTTATAGCGAGATAGGTGGTTTGAAAAACGAATGCGAAAAATGGGATTTATTGTTAAAAAGATGGGTGAAGATGGAGCATGTTTATTTAGAGCGGTTGCTGATCAAGTTTATGGTGATCAAGAAATGCATGGTGTAGTTCGGAAGCATTGCATGGATTATATTGTAAATATATTTTTATATTCAATATAAAAAAATGATGGAATCTTATTTCACATATATATAATTCATTAATTACATAATATAATTTTCTAGGCTTCCAATCAGGAATTTTTTTCTCATTTCGTAGCGGAAGATTTTAGCACATATGTAGATAGGAAACGACAAGAATATGTACATGGAAATCATATAGAGATGCAAGCAATGTCTGAAATGTATAATCGTAGCATTCAATTATATTGCTACAGTACTGGTATGTAATATATACTTTAGAAAAATAAATTTTTTTGTACATTTAATAATATTATTTAATAATATCATAATTATATACAGAACCAATTAATATTTTCCATACAATGGTTGAAAGTGATAATGAACCGATACGATTGTCTTATCAACGTGGTAGTCATTATAATAGTATAGTAGATCCATATAAAGCTACGATTGGTGTTGGTCTTGGTCTACCATCATATAATCCTGGAGCTGCAGATCGACAACTTATATCAGATGCAGTTCGTCAAAGTGAAGAATTGCATATTGAACAAGTGAAGATTATAATTGATTTTTATATTTAAAATCATTGTAAACTTTAAATTTCTACAATAAACAAAAAGAATAATTATTTTTATGTATAGACGATGCTAGAAGATAAAATAAAAGCAACTGACTGGGAAGCAACAAATGAAGCTATAGAAGAACAAGTTGCGAGAGAAAGTTATTTACAATGGTTAAGGGATAATGAGATGCGAAAAGCTGTAAGTTCCATATAATTTTTATCTGTTATCTTATACTAATAGAACTAAAGAATTATTTTGTAATTAAAGCGATCAGCTAGTAGCAGCAGTACAAGTACGGTAACAAGTGCGCAACACAGTCACGCGCATTTTCACTCTCATGGAGGTCGTGGTCAACAACGTAGCCATACTTCTTCTCCGACCACGACTCAAACTAGCCAAGATAATTTGCGTAATTCACCAAAAGTCCGTTTTGTACTAATGTTACTAAGACAATGTAATTTATATATTATGTTTTATGTTTTTTAATTTATAATTTCAGATAAATGATTCGGTAAGATACAATAAAAGATCCCCGCAACACCAATCAACTCAAGGATCTACTATGTCTCATCTTGCCTCAGATTTTGAATCTAAAATTTCTCAGGAACCCATGCCAGGTAGTAGTAAAGAAGCTCATACTTCACCGGATATTTCGTTATTCAATCGTCTTCCTCCTGAAGTATTTGGTAACTAAAATTAATTATAATATATAAAATAAAATATATTATATAATTATATATATTAAATAATAGAAAAAAATAAATAAGTTTCAAATGTTTTAAGACAAATAATTTTTTTCGTAAAAATGTGTTTTTATATTATTAGGCTTAACTGATTGGGAAGACAGTGATATACTTTCACAAGTTTTGGCTACATCACAGCAAGAATACTTGGACAACTTGAAACAATCACGGAGTTCTGCCTCCTCTGCAAATGATACTAATAATATACTAGATTCCAGTAATAGTTAATTTTTTTAAAATCTTTATTGATAAAGTTCAAATGAATAATGAAGTAAAAATATATGCATTTGTATGCAGCGTTTTTCATAGGATGTGATATATCCGAAAGATAAGATAGTTCTAAATCAAAAAAATGAAGCAATTCTTAGTGTTATCACATGGTCATTAATCATTGAGAATTATTGACAATTATGTTGAATGCATGCCTAATAAACTTAATTATTAGTTGCAAATGTGTCATATTGATTTCTATTACAATCATTGTATACATCAAATTTGTGTTGAAGTATATATTTATTATATTTTTAAAAAAATTGGATTGTAATTTTATCAAATATTATCATGATATATTCATAAAATTTTGAATTTTGAATTTAGAATACGCTATAATAATGTAAGTTGAATATTTTGTAGAAATATTCACAAAATCAATATAAAAAAAAAAATATCAAATATTCTTATTTGATACTATAACTAATATAAATGTATTAAGTTTATTAAGGATGCATCTATTTTTCTGCTTCAATAAAAATATAATTGAGAA